AATTACGATAATCAACACACATTCGAATCCGACCATCTTTTTTAGGAACGGGAACAATATTGCCACCCATTGTGGGTAAGTACTACCTCCAAAAATCCTGCTTCTAACTGCTTTTATTACTTCTTCTTTTATCTGCAAGGACACCCCCGTGTTCATTCTCCTTAACTTCTGTTTCTTAGGCTCGACCTTGGGAAGTAAGGTATTTTATGAGAGAGCAATGCTTGGGTCTAGCCCAGGCATGTCTTTATATGACCATGCAAACACATCTATGTATTCTTTGAACAACTCAATCATTTGTTTCCCTTTCAGGATTATCTACTATTTTGAGCATTCTTTGATCCTCCTCGGTTCCCATATTAACCATCTCAATCACTTCTTCATGTGGGCATATTCCCTTATCACTCAATTCAAGCATCTTTGAAAAAGTTTGGATTATGTCTTCATCATCAGACTCACAATCATGCATATCAGTGGCAACGAATGAATCATCTTCACAGGGTTTATTAATCTCTGGGTGGGAGATGGAATCAGAAGAAACAAAATCCCTGGATAATGAATATGGAACGAGATATGAAATAAGGAACAGGAATGAAACGGAGAGAAAGATGTATTGAAGTAGATAGGGTGGAATAAAGAAATAGACATGAATGCAATTGAAATTCATTTTCATGAATTATGTATATCAAAAGTTTGCATTAGTGAATACCCAAGATCTATTACCTAAACCTGGGCTCAAAAGTGGATAAAATAGGAACAACATAATTGAAACAATTACTCTAAGCTAATGACATCATTGGCCTCTTCAAACTCCCAATTCGCCAGAACTTTGTTGGAATCATCGACTGCAATTGAGGCACTTGTTCTGCATGGTACATCTTCATTAAAAGAGATCACTGAGATAGCTGGTTTATATATCACCTCGGACGGGCCTGGGAAGGATTCTTTAATGTGTGGAATCTCCAATTTACTGGCCTTTTTGCCATTTGCCAAACTTGCTTTGTCTTTCATCTGGTCTTCCAGGGTAGGCTCATACCCTAACCCTTGGCGATTACAATTATCCAAAACCTTAATTGGACACGTAATTCCTTGTAAATGAGAGCCTAAACCTTTCCCTGGCATAAACCCACTCTTCGCCATGATTTTAGCCACGACGGAATTGATGTTGTGAGTACTACCGCAAATACCCTCGACCTCTAGGCTTTGAAAGGAAACTCCATAATCTTTCTCTGCAGCCTCAATATAAGGGAGTGAGCTTGGTTTGCTCACCATGATTTCCTCCTCTCCTTTAACTGCTATAATTCTCCCATCACTGATGAACTTAACCTTTTGATGTAAGGTAGAAGGAACAGCCCTAGCAGAATGAATCCATGGCCTTCCTAGCAGCATTGTGTAACTTGGGTCTATGTTCATGAGTTGGAAATCCACCTTAAACCTGCTCGGCCCTATCTCCAGGGAGAGACAAATGGATCCTAATACTTCCCGTCTTGATCCATCGAATGCTCTTACCACAATATTACTTTTATGTACACCTGAAGCTTCTAGTGATAATGATTCAAATGTGGAGAGCGGCAAGACATTTAACGCTGATCCTCCATCAATTAATACTCTTGCGATTATGAACCCTTCACATTTCAAAGTGATGTGCAAAGCCTTGGCTTGGTGAACAGCGGTTTCTGTAACTTCCTCTTCCGAAAAGGAAATGGTAGAGGAGGCTTTTACAACATTCATTACACTTGCCACCTTCTCAGGGGTTATATTAGGCTGCACAAAAGCTTGATTCAACACTTCCTGCAATGCTTGACGATGCGCTTCGGAACTTAAAATCAAAGAAAGTATGGAGATACGCGCTGGAGTTTTCTTCAATTGGTCCACAATGCTTAATCACTTTGCTTCATAATCGATAAAAACTCATCTTCTAATTTTTCCATTTCTTTAGGATTGTCTTCCTTTGGCCTATTAATACTTGCATTTTTCTCTTTTACCATTTTCCTAATGTAAGATGGTAAGTATGGTTTTCCACTTCGAGTAACACCCCCTGGTTGGCCATTTCATTGCTTGTCCCGGCAATCAACGTTGGGTTTTTTGTGGTTCTCCACAATGCTTTGATATTTCCACGGGACTGCTCGATCACTTTCATAGGGAAAGGGATGAGGCGTGCTTATGGTCAATGTTGGTTGTCTTACGTGAGGTACAAGATCTGCAGAGGCTTTGTTTATCACAAAAGAGACTGCCTGAACCCGTTCTTTTGGGCTCAAATTTTTAATGACAAGCTCAACATGTTTTTTTTCTACCATGCACACTTTGGCGTCTCCCCTCTTTACAGACACGATCCCTAACGCCATCATTTTTCTAACAGCTCCTTTAAACTGTTCACAACTTTCTATGTCATGGCCTATTTTCTCTTGATGATATTCACAGTATCCAGGCATTTGATCACTGATATTATTCGTGAGGAGCATTTCTCGCATATAGCCATACTCCTTTAAATGAGCATAAAGCTCATTCATAGGCATCCTGATTCTTGCGGAGCTTTTAAAGCACGCATCTTCTTCTTCAATAGCGTTGACTCGTTTTTCGTGATTTGGGAGTGGATCAGTAGTAAGGGTAGAGCTTCCCTCTTCTTTAAGCTGGATATGGTTAGAATCAACTAGGTCTAGCACATTTCTTTTAAACGTCACACAGTCTTCTATTGAGTGCCCAGGTGCACCCATGTGGTATTCACAAACAACATTTGGATTATACCATGCCGGGTAAGGCGGACCAAGAGGCTTATAAGGTCGCGGACCTAATAATTGGGCTGTCAAAAGTTTATGGTACAATTCAGCATTTGTTAATCCAAAATTGGGCCATGGGCGACTATCCCTGGATTGGACATTTCTCCTCTCTCCATCCTGTCCATGCTTGTTAGGCCTGAACCCAAATTGTTGCTGTCTTTGATTCCTTCCCTCTACTTGATAAGGGACTTGAGAATTGGTAGCTGCTTGTCTTATAGGTTGAATATAGTTCACATTCCCTTCTTTCTTTTTTTGGTCATAGTTCTTTCGTGAACTACTTTCAGCTTGAGAAGTGGCTATCTTCCCTTCTCGTATGTCTATGTCAATCCTTTCCCCAATTACCATTAAATCAGCAAAATCAGTGACATGTGTTCCTATCATGTGTTGGTAAAATGGCTTAGGCAACGCACGGATGAAGTACGAGCAAAGTTCGGAATTAACCATTGGAGGTTGCACTTGCGAAGCCACTATTCTCCATCTTTGAGCATATTCTTTGAATGACTCTAATGATTTCTTGGTCATTGCTTTCAATTGTTCTCTGGTCGGAGCAGTATCAAGATTGAACTTGTATTGTCTCATGAAAACATCCACAAGGTCTTTCCATCTTTTAATCTTGGTTTGGTCTAGTTGCATGTACCAAGTCAATGCGGCTCCAGTTAAGCTTTCGGGAAAGAAGTTTATCAGAAACTTCTCATCTTGTGACCATATGGACATCTTTGTGCAATAGGCCCTCAAATGATAAATTGGGTTACTTGTACCATCATATTTATCGAAGCTTGGCATCTTGAATTTCTTGGGAACATCGATTTCTGGGGTCAAACATAATTCTTTCAAGTCTAAGGAACCCCACGTGTTTGATCCTTGAAGAGCCTTCAATTGATCTTTCATCTCTCCAAGTTCTTCTTTCAACTCCTTCTCTTTATGTAGCACTTGTGGGATTTGGAACATGTAGGCATGATCTTCCCCAGGACCATCCGGTATGTTAAAGGCCCCTATCCCAGAATCTTGTTTCTCTGGCGTGGGTACTTTAGGATCTGATCCTCTGTTTGGCTCAATTGTTCTATTAACCGCGTTCTCATCTGCTACGGTATTTCGTGGTGGGTTATCATCACTCCGTCCTTTTAGAGCCTCTGTTAGCAATTTCATCATGTCACTTATTTCAGCCATTTTAGACTCCACTGCAGACATCCGATCATTTAAGGTTGCTGACTCATTCCCGGTTGAATTTTCCATTGCACGACTACGCGATCGTGTGTTGTATGCTCGAGTGGTGGGAATCTGGTCAACCGAGTTTTTCTTTCGAGGCGCAATGTTGGCTTACCTGTGTAACATAATAATTAATTTTAATAAGTTTTACCTTTACGTTTGTTTCGTAAGATATCCAGCATTGTGTAGACATAAGGGTTTCGCGACACTGGCACCCTTTAAATTCCTCCAGAAATTTATTACTTCATAGGGGATTTAAAGTTGACCATTGAATTAGAGGACATTGGATCCTATCGAAATTCAAGGTCTTAAGAAAATGATGGTAGTACAAATTAATCAATAATTTCACAACCACAAAGCGTCATGTAGATCCTCATACAATGATTCAAATGTTAATACAGATTTAGAACTTCGTCACGCTATTGAGTTCTTTTACAATTTCATTGCACAAATGGAAGAATTCAACAATCTCTAATGGAGTTCCCCCAGGGAGAACCATGCCTTCAGCTTGCTTAAATGCTCTTGCAAATTCTGGAATTTTGTCATTAGCCAAATCAATTATCTGCCTACATTTTAACATCCACTCTTTGGTTTCTTCTGTTTGATCAAGGCAAAGTGATTTCCACTCTTCTAAGACTTCATTTTGTTGATTAAGCCTCTGAACAAAGTTCTGTGCTGTCTCAGCTGCACTTCCTCTCACCCTGGCTAGTTCATTCACCTTCCTTTCCAATTGTCTTGTGAGCGTATTGATTTCTTGCTGCATCTCCTCAATGGGTCTGATGTCTTGTAATTCCTTCTTCAATGCATCATTTTCCCTGACTATTTTGACAAGTCTTGCTTTAGTACTTTGAACTTTGTTATCACTAGTTTGCACTTCCCTTTTCAGTTTGGCATTTTCCTTTTTCAATTTCTTAGTCTCAGGTGTTTCTTCAAGGTTATGCCCTTCTCTTTCCTTTGCTAGCTTCCTCCGTAACTCAACGCATTCGTTTTGGTATTTTTCCAATTCTTCTTTATTCTTAGACTCTAAGTTAGCAAGCGCTTGTAACTCATTTTCCTTCATCTTCAAGCATTCAACCAATTGGCCATTAATCTCTTTCAAGTCATTGCCTAACAAGGGATTTTGAGGATGAAATAAAGGATTTGCTCCTTGAATCATACTCTTCAGCCAAGTAGTGTATTCTGGACTTGAGTTTACTACACGTATCCCTAGCTCAATCTTCCCTTTGTAACCTATCTCTTGCCATGCTTCTTTGACATTCTGGCTTAATAACTTTGTCCCATCCTCCTTATGTAGAAAGTATAACTCCTGCACCTCTTTCTTAGAAGGAACATTTTGCTTATAGGCCAGTTGCCTTAACGCTAAGGAAGGGTTATAGTTGATACACCCTCTGGGTCCCATTAAAGGCACATTCGGAAAGTCACCACAATGGTAAATAACCTCCTCTTTCCACCACCAGTCTAGTTTCCATAAAATGGAACTTTCTTTAAGTTCTGAGAAGGTTCTTTTCCAATCCATGTAGCTCATTCCGTCAATCATGAATTGGCCTTTAAAAGACATGAGTGGATTACTGTCTGAGTCGTTCTTCTTTCTGAAAGGAAGCGTCTTTCCATAAAGGTGGCCAAGCATCCATAAATCCAGTAATGCAATACAACAATTGACCTTTCCTTTCCCTTTATCGTGACATTGAGTTAAGGTCAAGTACGTTTCTGCCAAGATTGCTGGTACTGGATTCACGTTATGGTATTCCACCATTTGGAATACACTAATGGCTCCTAAGTCAATTATGCCAATTGATGATGGAAACAGGATTATTCCATATATGCATAAGGCAAAGACTCTGCAAAATGTAACCCAAGCCTCTTTTCCTGCCAAAACTTTCAAGTGGGCTTCTACATCAGCTCTTGAGATTCCCTCTGTTTGTCCTGGGCAAACCATTCGTACCTTTTCCTTAGGAATTTCCAAAATTTTCGCTATCGTGCCTCGAGATGGTAAATATCCAGGATAAAGATATACTGCCATGTTCTCCTTAAGGGGCATTCTCAAAATTTCTCCATATTCTTCCAAAGTCGGTGCCATTTGGAAGTCTTGAAATGTGAAACATCTTAACGAGGCATCCCAATATTGGCTTAATTCCATTATTGCATCATTATGTATTGTGACTGGCAGAAGATCCAAGATATTTCCATATTTCCTTTTAAAATCTTGCATAATCTTCCCTTTGATATGACGGCTCAACTCAATTAAGGTTTCCAGCGGCTCAACTTTTACAGATAATTTGATCCCTTTTCCCTGATATAATTTTCCAGTATGACTTAGATTTGTACTACCTTCGAGTGCCATTTATCCCTTATGCCAATTTCACAAAGATTCTGGATAACTCACGGTTCCTGTTAATCAAAACAAAGGTTAATAATATACAATTCTCATAATTTTAGCAAGCTATCTGGCTCACTTTTTTAAAAACCCTCTCCTCTAGATACTTATTGCACCATAGGGAGATGGAGTAAACAATTAATGGACGAGAGGCTTAAATCCCCTACATGATTAATGTTGAAAGGTTTAGCCTTACAATCTTATTTTTGAGAAAGGAGAAAAAAATGATAAAAATGATTTTGATAATAGATATGCAAGAAAAAAAAATTCATTCTCTCCTCAATGTGCTTATTGCCCCATAGGGAGAAAGGGATTAATTAGCCTATGTGCAGCTAAAACTAACACATGGCTAAAGTCTCAATGACAAGAGAAATTATTTAATTTGTGGTTTTTTTAAAAAAAATGCGAATACTTTATGATGACATGCTATGACAATGATGCAATAAAAGATCAATACTCTCATCCTGCGTCCTATTCAGGGAGACTTAAGTTCATAATCGGGTGCTCACTAGAATGGTTGGCTACTAGCTGTTGTCTGAAACGTGTAATTCACGGGTGGATGTATATTCCTAAAAGGCTCTCAAGATGCCCTCACACAAAGGTGAAGACCTTACTTAATAATCTTGGCCCTCCAAGAACATAAGCTCTACAGGGACCAAATTTATTAGGCAAGTAACAGCTTGGGTGAGGTATTCATGGTAACCTCCGAGAGTTCAAAAACTCCACAGGGAAACCACTACTAACCTCTACTAACCTATAGTACTCACAGACCCGGGTATAGGGCCCAAAATATATGTGTGTCAAATTGTGTAAGTGTATAGTGTGATGAGAGCATGCAAGCATGCTATCTTATTCTCATATGCTACCCAACTCCCAACTTTTAATCAGATCAAATACAGAAACAAATATATGTACAAATAAAAGTCATCTATCTTAAGGTTTATTCCGCATGTTATCTACCTTAAAAACATGTTATAAAATACAAAAGGAAAGAGAAAAGGGAAAAAGAGAAAGGAACAAGGGACACATAAATTTAAAGGGATAATAAAGATAAACCATATTATATTTTGAGCATAACAGACTTATAGGCTTGACTCTCTAACTATCCCCAGTGGAGTCGCCAACTGTCGCACCCGGAAAAAAATGCGACGCGGACGGCGCGCGAGCGGAGGTCCCGGCCTTCGCGGCGGGAACCGGATCGAACGAGGAGTCGCCACCAAGATTTTGAGGGAAATCTCGGGAAACCGATTAATGGAAGGATAAGGGTGATCCGCGAAATCAGAGAATAGGTTCGGGAGTCGGTTGAGTGTGGGGAAGGTGTTAGGCACCCCACGACACCCGTTCGTGAGAACGGTTACCTGAAGTTTGCTGTGCTCTATTAATATGGTTTTATAATTATTTTAATTATCCCTTTTATATTCATGTGTTTGATAAAAATGATGAGAAATATTTATTTATTTACGAGGGAGGACGGACTTGACTCAGAATCTGACTCTGAGGCCTACGTACCCTGTGATGGGGATCAAAGTCCACGTAGTTCGGGCTTAAAAGTTTGTCGGTAAAAATATTTTTTGAAGAGAAATTAATTAGAAATAACTCACCATTTTGCAAATAAAACAATTTCTGAAATTTTGATATGTGTGTTTTAAATTGCAAAAGGTAATTTAATTTTAATTATTTTCTCAATTTTTGAATTTTGAATAAAGAAATGAAAGGGTTTAAAATTATCTTTCTTTATATTTTATGATTAGAAATTTAATTGCAGTACCTGTAGAACCTTATTGATTCATACGGTAATGCAATTGCTCTAAGTATTTGCGAAGATTCTGAAATCTCACATGATAGAAGAGTTTGGCAATTCAATTTATTTATTTATATTCTTATGTACATTTTAAGTATCAAAAATATATTTTAAGTATGTATATACATGTTTTGAAGAATTTTAATCATCATACCTGCAAAGCCTTATTGACTTATACGGTAATATGATTATCCTAAATATCTACGGAGATTCTAAAATCTCACACGAGACAGGAATTAAATTTAATTAATTGATTTAATTAATTATATAATATATATGTATATATATTTTAAAAACTAAATCGTTATATCCGCAGAGTCTTATTGACTCACACGATAATACAATGATCTTAGAAGCCTACGGAGATTCAAAAATTTCACGTGGCTAAAAGATATAATTGGTAAATATGGTTACAATTTAAATACATTTAATTTGGTTAATTAAGTTTCTTAAATTGTATATTATATGATTATTTGCAAAAATTACTTATTTATTACAAAAATTGAAAATCACTATATCTATGAGGACTTACTGTCCCACATAATAATGTGACTAATTTAAGTTCCTACGAAGATTCTTAAAATCTCACATGGAACTTAAATATTTAGTATAAAGAAAGAGTTAATTTTAATAATGGGCCTTTAGAACCCGTATAAGTATCTGCAAAATTGATCCCCATACTTGTAAAATCTTATTGATCTTTATGGTATGAGATCATTTTAAATTCCTGTAAAAATTCTCAAAATCTCCTGTTTTAAGTTTTAAAAAATATATATGTGCTTAGCATATGAGCATAAAAATAAATACGTATATTCGAGACTTATTCACCTGGATATAAAATTCATAGAAGCAATTAATAAGGTGTGAACTAACCTTACACACGCTCCCGCAATGCCCGTAACTGAGAAAGGAAAAGGAGATGAAGACACAGAGGAGGACGAAGTGCACCGTCTGTGATAGCAGTAGCCCCTGCAAACTTACACGCTCCCGCGATGCCCGTAAACGCTCCCGCGATGCCCGTAACTGAGAAAGGAAGAGGAGGTGAAGACACAGAGGAGGACGAAGTGCACCGTCAGTGATGGCAGTAGCCCCTGCAAACTTCCACACTTTCTCTCTCTCTCCAGTTGCTCTGTTATTCTTTTCGTCTCCAGTCTTCGCTCGTCCTCGTGCTCTCTCTCAGTTCTCCTATGCTCTGTTTTTACTTCTGATCTCCTTCTTCCAGTTTTTCTCGCCTCGTTTCTCCATTTTTCCTCTCCTTTTCTGCTGCTTCTTCTCTGCTCTATTTTCTTTCTCTCTTCTCTTCCTCTCCCGGACTCTCTCCTCTGTCTCTGTTTTCTGTTTTCAGTCCTCTCGGTCTTTCTTTTTCTGTTTCACCTTCTCCGCCTCCTCCTCTTTTCTCCCAGCCCTGTCACTCCTTATATAGAGGATGGAAGAGCTGAATGATTACTCCCTTTCTCTGCTTCTTCCTTTTCCCTTCTCTTCCGCTGCATTTTCTGCGTGCGCCGAAAGCTCTCTGCTCTGTTTTCATTTCTGCATGGCTCTTCTTTTTCTTTGCGTGTGGGTGCTGCCTTTCTGCTTCCCTTTTTCTTCTGTCGTGTCCATGCCTCTACTTTTTCTGTGTGTGTTTCGTATGTGTTGGTGCTGTGTTTTTCTTTCTGCTTTCTCGTGTACGTACATGTTTCTATTTCCTTTCATTGTGCGTCTCTGCTTGTTTTTTCTGTGTGTGTTCTCTGTGTAGCTGTGGCTGTGCGTTGACGTGTTCTGGTTTCTCTGCATGGCTGAAAGTTCCTTTTTTCTGCGTCTGCTCGTGCGTTTTTCCGGCGTTCTCTTCGTGCATGCGTGGCTGACTGTTCTCTCTCTCGTTTTCCTTCTTTTTGTCTGTTTCATGTCTGCTGTGTTTTTGTTGCTGAAGCTGGGCAGTTCAAATTGGCATGCACGTGATACTACCTCTTTATTTTATTTTATTTAATTATTCAATTTCATAGTATATTTTTTTTAATTAATTTTCTTTTAAGAGAAGGGTTATCTAAGGTAAAAGGAGAGAGGATTTTTTTGTTAGATGATGATGGTGATTATTATTATTATTATTTTTAAAAAAAAATGCCCGGACAAAATACGGTGTTCACAATGAGAAATATTTATTTATTTATAAGGGAAGACGGACTTGACTCAAAATCTGACTCTAAGGCCTACGTACCCTATGATGGGGATCAAAGTCCACGTAGTTCGGGCTTAAAAATTTATTGGTGAAAATATATTTTTTTGAAGAGAAATTAATTAGAAATAATTCACCATTTTACAAATAAAATAATTTCTAAAATTTTGATATGTGTGTTTTAAATTGCAAAAGGTAATTTAATTTTAATTATTTTCTCCATTTTTGAATATTTAATAAAGAAAGGAAAGGGTTAAATTTTTTTTTATATTTTATGATTAGAAATTTAATTGCAGTACCTGTAGAACCTTATTGATTCATACGGTAATGCAATTACTCTAAGTATCTGCGAAGATTCTGAAATCTCACATGATAGAAGAGTTTGGCAATTTAATTTATTTATTCATTCTTATGTATATTTTAAGTGTTAAAAATATATTTTAAGTGTGTATATACATGTTTTAAAGGTTCATAATCATCATACTTGCAAAGCTTTATTGACTTATACAGTAATATAATTATCCTAAATATCTGTGGAGATTCCAAAATCTCACACGATAAAGGAATTAAATTTATTTAAAATTTTAATGTGATTATTTTTAATATATAATTTATATACATATATTAAAAACTTAATCGTTATATCTATAGAGTCTTATTGACTCATACGATAATACGATTATCTTAAAAGTCTACAGAGATTCAAACCTCACATGACTAAAAGATATAATTGATAAATATGATTGCATTAATTTAGTTAATTAATTTTCTAAATTGTGTATTATATGATTATTTACAAAAATCATTTATTTATCATAAAAATTGAGAATCACTGTATCTGCGAGGATTTATTATCCTACACGATAATGTGATTAATTTAAGCCTCTACAAAGATTCTTGAAATCTCACACGAGACTTAAATAAATAGTATAAAGAGAGAATTAATTTTAATAATAAGCTTTGGAACCCATATAAATACTACAAAATTGATCTTGATACCTGTAAAATCTT